CCCCCCCCCCCCCCCCCCCCCCCCCCCCCCCCACTTCCCTCCCTTTCTCACTCCTGGATCCGTCTACGAATAATTTGCAATCGAAAAAAAACTCACATCTGGTTGTTGTTGATCCATGCAGCGGCGGCTTTCCAGGTTCGAAGTTCGCCGATGCGCAATTTGGCCAGTGAGTAGACAAGTGCATTAATTTGTGACCACTTACTGAAGCGAGTAATGTTGGCGACAGTTTCATCGGCAACCAGACGCCGCAATCCAGCATCCATGAAATGCAGCCGGGCGGCCGACTGCGCCAACACTATCAGCTGATCCATCTAAACACACAACTAGTAGTTCTCACGAAACAGAAGAAAGCACGATTTTGTTTAATTATGGTAAAATGCTGTGCAGTCCAAAACTGAAGAGTCTCGCAAAGTCGAATTCAGCTTGTGGGAGCATCCCAGTAACATAACCACTATCATGGGATATCTACACTGATAGCCTGGAGACGGGAGGGAGGGAGGGAGAGTGTCCCGGTATTCTTGATACAATTTTGGAGACTCAAACACAAAATTTTATTCAGGCCATAAGCCGATCCAGATATCAGTGCTACAAAAGTCTTGGTCTGAAGCTAAAACTGAAGAAAACTCTCTTCCGCACCCTCGGTCTCCCCTTCCGGAAGCTGTCCTGGATCCGCCTATGACTCAAGCTAATGAAACGACGTAAAAATGTGAATTCAATAAAAAACCGATCTGTGACACGGCAACGTCACATAACTGTAATAACAGCAATAATAATTACAGTCAAATTCGGCCTGTTCTGTTCGATGGCACTGCCGATGAGACGAAGCACATGCGGGGGTCGACTTAAATTGTTTGCCAAACTTGCTAGCATGCCAACAAGCTCTGCGCTGCACATTCCCGAGATGCTGCCTTTTGCTTTTTCAACGAACATATTGAACCAGCTGTCGTTCTTGTTCCAACAGGTCAGCACCGAAACAACGTCCTGCGGATCGGTGATTTCGCTGAAAATAACAATTTTTGTTCAGGAAACAAAAATCTTCCCCTGTAAATGAGGAGTTAAGCTGGGCAAAATGGACCGAAAATTTAACCACAATATCCACGGAATCATTGAAGTCAACTAGCGATTCTTTAAATCAATGTCGAAATAAAAGTACTAGTGTGATTAAAGAGCAAGCAATCTTTATCAACGTTTATGAGATAACAATACTTATCAGCCAATGGTGAAAAATGCTACAGGCCTACCATCAATAGTCATAAATCAGTAGCTCTCTCTTTTCTAAAAAAGGGCCTTCAGATAAGGAAAAAAAACGTTCTCTTTCAGTTTCATTGCCAAGAATATTCACTGTTTGTATCTTTAAAATTTCTACAGCATTCAGTACAAAAATAGGCACAGAGAAACCAATATATTGCATAAAACTGGAAGAAGATAGAGAAACCTTGCTTTTAGTTGTAGCCATTCTCTCATCTGCTTGTATAGATCATCCGGCAGACGGATCTTCTTACTGTTCACCAGCGAAGCGAAACGGATGATCGGCGAAACGGACATGGAAAAAAGGTCTGTGGCAAAGTGATGCCTCACCGCATCGGCCAATGTCTTAAAAATAGGCTCGTGCGAAAGTTCGAGGACCAGCACTGCGCAGATTGCTTCAAACGATAAATCAACATTTAGCGTTTCGCCTTTCAGTGACTCGTCCAATTTCGACAGAAATCCACTAAAATGATGCGCACTCAGCAAAAACTTGCCATGTAAAACAAATTCCAGTTCAGTTTTTACTTTTAATTATTACTGTCCTTCTAGCTACAGCCTTTTTTGTAACTTCATAAAATATCCAAAATACAAAAAAAGAGTTCAAAACGCGTATGCGGAAGTGTCCTGAAAGAGATTACAGATCAATGAACTGATTATGCTAGGCTTCCCCATGCATGTTATATCATTCTTCCAGCACAACATCCTCACCTTTTAAGCCAATCAGCTGCTTTCAGAACGTTACCCGAATCGCTGGCAAGTTCAGCAAACCGCGATAAGATTGCAACTGAAGTGTCCGCACTGATCGGTCCATGTAGCTGTGAACAGACCTAAAACTGCTTGTGAATGAAAAAAAAAAAAAAAAACAAAAAAATTTCACGATGGTTTTTCACTTCGTCTGATTCATCAAAGAAAATGTAAATTCAAATTTACAACTTATTCGATTTTGGAACTGAGCTTTTTTTCACTTTTATTTCCACATTCATACCTCTACTTGTGTCATTAATATTTCATCACAGTTCAATTTACTCAGCCGAGATCCAGTTATGGTACTAAAATCGAATATGCACAATTTAATGGACTAAAACACCCCTTTTCTTTGATGTTT